GTCCCAGTTTGTCCCAGTACCTTACTGGGAGCGGCTCTTCCCCCCAGTCCGGGCCCCGTCCCAAACCCGGGGTTATTTTTAACGCGGTGACGTCACCGGGGGGCGGGCCCGAGGCCACGCCCCCTCCCAGTTCCACCAGTAACGGACTGGGAACGGACTGGGAGCGGACTGGGACAGCCCGGGGGGGGCACTGGGCTCCCAGTTACACCAGTAAGGGACCAGTAAGGGACTGGGAAGGGACGGGGAGGGGCCGAGGCCACGCCCCCCACCGGTAACGGACCAATCAGGGACGGGGAGGGGCCGAGGCCACGCCCCCGACCGGTAACGGACCAATCAGGGACGGGGAGGGGCTGAGGCCACGCCCCCAACCAGTAACGGACTGGGAACCGCAGGAACGGCCCCCAGTTCATCCCAGTTCAATCCCAGTTTAACCCAGTCCCTCCCAGTAACCCCTAAAACCGATCCCAGTAAAGCCCCAAAACCCTCCCAGTCCCTCCCAGTCCATCCCAGTTTAATCCGCATTTATCCCAGTTCCTCCCAGTAACCCCAAATCCCTCCCAGTTTATCCCAGTTCATCCCAGTAACCCCAAAACCGATCCCAGTAACCACAAATCCCCTCCCAGTCCCTCCCAGTTCAATCCCAGTTCCCCCAGTCCAACCCAGTTTATCCCAGTAACGCCAAAAACCGATCCCAGTCCCCTCCCAAACCCTCCCCGTCTCTCCCAGTTTAATCCCGGTTTTCCCCGGTCCCTCCCAAATCCCCTCCCAGTCCATCCCAGTTCATCCCAGTTCATCCCAGTAACCCCAAATCCCCTCCCAGTCCATCCCAGTTCATCCCAGTTCATCCCAGTAACCCCAAATCCCCTCCCAGTCCATTCCAGTTCATCCCAGTTTAATCCCAGTTTCCCCAGTCCCTCCCATTCCCCCCCAGGAACCCCCAAATCCCTCCCAGTCCATCCCAGTTTAACCCAGTCCCTCCCAGTAACCCCCAAAACCGATCCCAGTAAGACCCCAAAACCCTCCCAAACCCTCCCAGTCCCTCCCAGTCCATCCCAGTCCCTCCCAGTTCAATCCCAGTTCATCCCAGTAACCCCAAATCCTTCCCAGTTTAATCCCGGTTTCCCCCAGTCCCTCCCAAACCCCTCCCAGTGCATCCCAGTTCCTCCCAGTTCAATCCCAGTTCATCCCAGTAACCCCAAAAACTGATCCCAGTCCACTCCTGAACCCTCCCAGTCCACCCCAGTCCATCCCAGTCCCTCCCAGTTCCATTCCAGTTCAGCCCCAGTTCACTCCCAGTACAGACCAGTGCCCTCCCAGTGCTCCCAGTCCATTCCCAGTGCTCCCAGTCCATTCCCAGTGCTTCCAGTATGGATCACAGCACTGTCCCAGTTCACTCCCAGTACAGACCAGTATCACTCCCAGTGCTCCCAGTATCACCCGGCATCAATTCCAGTGCCCTCCCAGTTCATTCCCAGTGCTCCCAGTATCACCCAGTGCCCTCCCAGTACAGACCAGTGCTCTCCCAGTGCTCCCAGTGCTCCCAGTTCACTCCCAGCACCATTCCAGTGCTCCCAGTTCCGTCCCAGTTCAGCCCCAGTTCACTCCCAGTACAGATCGATGCTCTCCCAGTGCTCCCAGTATCAACCCCAGTTCATTCCCAGTTTGCTCCCAGTTCAGCCCCAGTTCATTCCCAGTATAGGCCAGTTCATTCCCAGTGCTCCCCATGACCACCCAGTGCTCCCAGTACCCTCCCAGTATCAATCCCAGTGCTCCCAGTATCACCCAGTATCACTCCCAGCGTTCTCCCAGTGCTCCCAGTATCAACCCCAGTGCTTTCCCAGTCTCTCCCAGTTCCATCCCAGTTCAGCCCCCGTTCACTCCCAGTACAGACCAGTGCCCTCCCAGTGCTCCCAGTATCAATCCCAGTGTCACTCCCGGTGTTCCCAGTATCGCTCCCAGTGCTCCCAGTTCCATCCCAGTTCCATCCCAGTATCACCCTCAGTGCCCTCCCAGTACAGACCAGTGCCCTCCCAGTGCTCCCAGTTCATTCCCAGTGCTCCCAGTATGACTCAGTGCCCTCCCAGTATCACCCAGTGAGTTCCCAGTGCTCCCAGTATCACCCAGTATCATTCCCAGTGCTCCCAGTTCATTCCCAGTGCTCCCAGTACCAATCCCAGTCCGGCCCAGTGCTCCCAGTTCCATCCCAATTCAGCTCCAGTTCCATCCCAGTTCATTCCCAGTGCTCCCAGTATGGATCACAGCACTCTCCCAGTGCCCTTCCAGTGCTCCCAGTATCACCCAGTATAACCCAGTATGGTTCACAGCACCCTCCCAGTACTCCCAATGCTCCCAGTATCACACAGTGGCACTCCCAGTGCTCCCAGTATCACTCCCAGCATCCTCCCAGTGCTCCCAGTTCAGCTCCAGTTCACTCCCAGTTCATTCCCAGTGCTCCCAGTATCAATCTCGGTCACTTCCGGTCACTCCCAGTGCTCCCAGTCCATCCTGATCCACAAAACTCCACTTCCCCACTTCTTTTTTTTTGCCATTTTTCCTTTATTTTCATATATTTTAACCCAAATTCCCCAACTTCCGACCACTTTTTTCCACTCCCAGTCACTGGTGGTCACTTCCGGTCACTCCCAGTCCATCCCAGTCCATTTAACTCCACTTTTCCGGGTTTTCTTTTGCCATTTTTCCTTTATTTTACCCCAAACACCCCCAACTTCCAACCACTTTTTGCCATTTTTTTTCACTCCTGGTCACTCCCAGTCCATCCTGATCCACAAAACTCCACTTTTCCGGGTTTTTTTTGCCATTTTTCCTTTATTTTCATTTATTTTACCTCAAATACCCCCAACTTCTGCCCATTTTTTTCCACTTTCGGTCACTTTTTGTCACTTCTGGTCACTGGTGGTCACTTCCGGTCAATTCTGGTCACTCCCAGTTCATCCCATTCCACAAAACTCCACTTTTCTGGGGTTTTTTTGCATTTTTCCTTTATTTTACCCAAAATACCCCCAACATTCGGCGACTTTTTGCCACTTTTTGTCACTTCCGGTCACTTCTGGTCACTCCTGGTCACTCCCAGTCCATCCCAGTCCATTTATCTCCACTTTTTCAGGGTTTTTTTTGCCATTTTTCCTTTATTTTCATGTATTTTACCCCAAACACCCCCAACTTCCGGCCATTTTTTTCCACTTTCGGTCACTTTTTGTCACTTCCGGTCACTGGTGGTCACTTCCGGTCACTGGTGGTCACTCCCAGTCCATCCTGATCCACAAAACTCCACTTTTCCACACTTTTTTTTTGCCATTTTTCCTTTATTTTACCCCAAATACCCCCAACTTGCATCCACTTTTTGCCACTTTTTGTCACTTCCGGTCACTGGTGGTCACTTCCGGCCATTTTTGGTCACTCCCAGTCACTCCCAATCCACAAAACTCCACTTTTCCAGTTTTTTTTTGCCATTTTTCCTTTATTTTCACATATTTTTACCCCAAATACCCCCAACTTCCGGTCACTTTTTGTCACTGGTGGTCACTCGTGGTCACTCATGGCCACTTCCGGTCACTCGTGGCCACTTCTGGTCACTCCCAGTCCATCCTGATCCACAAAAATCCACTTTTCCAGGTTTTGTTTTGCCATTTTTCCTTTATTTTACCCCAAACACCCCCAACTTCCAACTCTTTTTGCCATTTTTTTTCACTTCCGGTCACTCCCAGTCCATCCCAGTCCATTCCACTCCATTTAACTCCACTTTTCCAGGGTTTTTTTGCCATTTTTCCTTTATTTTAATATCTTTTACCCCAAATACCCACAGCTTCCAGCCATTTTTTTCCACTTCCGGTCACCGTGGTCACTCCGAGTCACTCCCGGCTACTTCCGGTCCATCCCAGTCCATCCTGATCCACAAAACTCCACTTTTCCGGGTTTTGTTTTGCCATTTTTCCTTTATTTTACCCCAAACACTCCCAACTTCCGGCCATTTTTTGTCACTTTTTTCCACTTCCGGTCACTGGTGGTCACTGGTGGTCACTTCCGGTCACTCGTGGTCACTTTTGGTCACTCGTGGTCACTTCCGGTCACTCGTGGTCACTTTTGGTCACTCCCATTCCACAAAACTCCACTTTCCAGGTTTTTTTTGCCATTTTTCCTTTATTTTAATATATTTTACCCCAAATACCCCCAACTTCCGGCCACTTTTTGCCACTTTTTGTCACTTCCGGTCACTCCCGGTCCCTGTGGTCACTTCTGGTCACTCGCGGTCACTTGCAGTCACTCCCAGTCCGTCCTGATCCACAAAACTCCACTTTTCCAGGTTTTGTTTTGCCCTTTTTCCTTTATTTTACCCCAAACACCCCCAACTTCCGGTCACTGGTGGTCACTTCCGGTCACTCCGGGTCACCGGGGGTCACTTCTGGCCATTTTTGGTCATTCCTGGTCACTCCCATTCCACAAAACTTCACTTTTCCAGGGTTTTTTTTGCCATTTTTCCTTTATTTTACCCAAAATAGCCCCAACCTCTGACCACTTTATGCTACTTTTTGCCACTTTTTGTCACTTCCGGTCACTTCTGGGTCACTTCCGGTCACTGGTGGTCACTTCTGGCCATTTTTGGTCACTCCCGGTCACTCCCATTCCACAAAACTCCAATTTTCCAGGGTTTTTTTTTGCCATTTTCCCTTTATTTTACCCAAAATACCCCCAACTTCCGGCCATTTTTTTCCACATCCGGTCACCGCTGGTCACTCTGGGTCACTCGTGGTCACTCTGGGTCATTTGTGGTCACTTCCGGTCACTGCTGGCCGATGACCCGGCGGATCCAGCCGCTGGCCCGGCAGACGTTGGAATAAACCCCGGGCTGCCCGCGCTGCCCGCACACGGCCATGCCCCAGGACACCACGCCCTGCAGCACGCCCTGGCACACCAGGGGCCCGCCAGAGTCACCCTGAGGGATGGAAAAATATCAAAATTAGGAAAAATCAACCCAAAAAAATAACCTAAAAAAATCCCAAAGTCCCCTAAAAAATCCTCAAAAAAATACCCAAAAAAAAGAGAAAAATGGGACCAAAAATCAATGAGAAACTGCAGGACGCCCTGGCACACCAGGGGGCCACCAGAGTCACCCTGAGGGATGGAAAAAATACCAAAATCAGGGAAAATCAACCCAAAAATCACCCCAAAAAAACCACCGAAATCCCAAAAAAAATCCCTGAAAAAATACCCAAAAAATGAGCAAAATGGGACCAAAAATCATTGAGAAACTGCAGGACGCCCTGGCACACCAGGGGCCCGCCAGAGTCACCCTGGGGGATGGAGAAAATATCAAAATTAGGGAAAATCAACCCAAAAAATCAACCAAAAAAAAATCACCCCAAAAAACCACCGAAATTCCCAAAAAAAATCCCTGAAAAAATACCCAAAAAAATGAGGAAAATGGGACCAAAATGGTTCTGGGACCAGCGGCCCGCCTGAGTCACCTTGGGAGATGGAAAAAAAATATATCACCGAAAAATCCCAAAATCACAAAAAATCAACCCAAAAAATCCTGAAATCCCCCCAAAAATCCCTGAAAAATTCCCGTTGAAAATGACCAAAAAAATCCCGTCAAAATTGAGCAAAATGGGACCCAAAATCATTGAGAAACTGCAGGACGCCCTGGCACACCAGGGGGCCACCAGAGTCACCCTGCGGGACAGAGAAAAAAATAAATAATTAAAAAAAAAAAATCCCAAAATCACAAAAAATCAACCCAAAAAAACAGCCCAAAAAAATCCCTGAAAAAACACCCGAAAAATGAGCAAAATGGGACCAAAGATCAATGAGAAGCTGCAGGACACCCTGGCACACCAGGGGGCCGCCTGAGTCACCCTGCGGGATGGAAAAAAATTAATAATTAAAAAATACTGAAATTCAAAAAAATCAACCCAAAAATATTCCAAAATCCAAAAAAAATCCCGTTAAAAATGACCCAAAAATGAGCGAAATGGGACCAAAAATGTGAAAAAATCAATGAGGAACTGCAGAGCCCTGGCACACCAGGGGGCCGCCAGAGTCACCCTGCGGGATGGAAAAAAATTAATAATTTAAAAATACTGAAATCACAACAAATCAACCCAAAAAAACAGCCCAAAAAACCACCGAAATTCCCAAAAAAATCCTGTTAAAATTGAGCAAAATGGGACCAAAATGGCGCTGGGAGAGCGGAGAGCGCCCCCTGCTGGACCAGGGGCCCGCCCGAGTCACCCTGGGGGATGGAAAAAATTAAAATAATGAAAAAATCCCAAAATCACAAAAAATCAACCCAAAAAATTCTGAAATCCCAAAAAAAATCCCGTTAAAAATGACCCAAAAATGAGCGAAATGGGACCAAAAATGTGAAAAAATCATTGAGAAACTGCAGAGCGCCCCCTGCTGGACCAGGGAGGGATGGAGAAACCCAAATCCTGAAAAAATCCCCAAATCCCCAAAATATCCCAAAATTCCCCAAAAAAATCCCCAAAAATCCTGAAATCACCCCCAAAAAATCCCAAAATTCCAAAAAAAATTCCCGTTAAAATTGAGCAAAATGGGACCAAAATGGCGCTGGGAGAGCGGAGAGCGCCCCCTGCTGGACCAGGGCCCGCCCGAGTCACCCTGGGGGATGGAAAAAAAATTAATAATGAAAAAATACCGAAATAATAAAAAATCAACCCAAAAAAATCACCCCGAAATCTAAAAAAAAATCCCTGAAAAAAACACCCAAAAAATGAGCAAAATGGGACCAAAAATGTGAAAAAAATCAATGAGAAACTGCAGAGCGCCCCCTGCTGGACCAGCGGCCCGCCAGAGTCACCCTGGGGGATGGAAAAATACCAAAATCACAGAAAATCAACCCAAAAAATCACCCCAAAATAAAAAAAAAATCCCGTTAAAAATGACCCAAAAATGAGCAAAATGGGACCAAAAATGTGAAAAAAATCAATGAGAAACTGCAGAGCGCCCCCTGCTGGACCAGGGGCCCGCCAGAGTCACCCTGGGAGGCAGAAAAAATACCAAAATCAGGAAAAATAGACCCAAAAAAATCCTGAAATCAAAAAAAAATCCCGTTAAAAATGACCCAAAAATGAGCAAAATGGGACCAAAAATGTGAAAAAATCATTGAGAAACTGCAGAGCGCCACCTACTGGACAGGTGAGAGGTGGGGAAAAAAACAAATTCCCCAAAAAAATCTCAAA